GTGATCTGGAGACTATCTATAGTCTTAACATGTTTAAGGGAAACAAAAAGGAGGGTGGGGAATGGTGGCCACAGAACTTGGTGTGCTTTCATTATTTCTAAAAATGTGATAAACTGGTTCAGAATGACACTGATTGGACCACTTTCTAGGTAGACACCTTTTCACCTCCACAGAGGTTCTATAGGCACCTATGCGTTATAATGACCAATTAGAACACTTAGATGTTGCAACTGTATGCAATTTATAAATAGTTTATAAAGTCTTTGAAAATGGGAAGTGCTAGGCAAGTACTCAAGTTGTTATATATTAAAAAAGCCTTTAGCATATAATCATTTTATTTAATAATTGCCTCTTTAAAAGGCATAGATATTTTATAGCTGAACAGAATTTCTGAGCTTGAACCATTGATATTATTGCTGTTAGTAAATCAAATACTGAGTAAGGTTTTTCAGTTTCTCTAAGTAAATATATGATTCATATCAATCTCCCTCACTTTCTCATAGACCAATTCTGCCTTCCCTTAGGTTCTGACAAACTTTTTGCAAAGATTCTTCTCTGGTCTCCAGGACTCTTGGTTATCCTGCCTGCCTTGCCCTGTTTTTTCCTTTCACACACCTGCCTTGTGAAGGTGTTTTTGTAAAAACCTGTGTTTAGGGCTGGGCTTGCCTGGTGGCTCAGCTGGTAAAGAATCCACCTGCAATGCAGAAGACCTGGGTTCGATCCCTGAGTTGGGAAGATACCCTGGAGAAGGAAAAGGCTACCCACGCTAGTATTCTGGCCTGGAGAATTCCATGGACTGTGTCCATGGGGTTGCAGAGTCAGACACAACTGAGCAACTTTCACTTTCACTTCAGTTTTCCTGGTGGCTCAGTGGTAAAAGAATCTGCCTGCCAATACAGAAGACACGGGTTCGATCCCTGGGTCAGGAAGATCCCCTAGAGGAGGAAATCCTCTCCAGTATTCTTGCCTGGGAAACCCCATGGACAGAGGAGCCTGGTGGGCTATAGTCATGGGGTCACAAAGAGTCGGACATGACTGAAGCGACTATACAACAAACAGATTTAAGACTCCATGCCAAATCATGAGTGATGATGAGCCCTTTTAGGAGCAAGGAGGCCACGAGATGTGGCGGGTGGCCACCAATGGGTGCATCCCCCACAGGTACTGTTACCGATTACTTCAGTCTACTGTTACCATTCTACACTGCTGTGTCCACTAATTAAATTTGGCCTTCACTCCTGACAGGTCTTGGCTCATAGGTATTAAACTTCCTTTAAGTTACCCTGTTCCTGGTCCCCACTGAACTACTAATAGGCAGAACTTTAGAAGAGGCAAACGAATGTTTGATCATTTCCCACTGATCCCTTTAGGACTTCCCTGCATCTTCAAGTGCTGAGTTCCTTATGCTGACATTGGCTTTCTGTTAACTGTCTATTACTGCCTGTCACCCTAGGAGAGTGTTCCCTGTCCTTGCCCTGGAACTTTTGATCTTTCCCCACCCACTCCTGCTCCCACTTAAATTTAGCCTCTAACGTCCTACAGTCTATTTTCTTTATTGGAAAACCCAAACGAAGCCATTCTTCTGTACCAGGGTTAATATTTAGCCTTTGTAGGCACTAAACTAATGCTGCCAGCTGCCCAGTGACTTTCCTGTTAATTTCAGCCAACATTTTTTTGTCCTCAAGTGACTCATTCATCACTCTCCTCTTTGAAAGCACTGTCTTCCACAACTTGACTTTCTACAGGCTTCCCCACCAACTCACTGGTTGCTCTTCTACCAACCTTTAAATACTGAGCTTGCCCAAGGCTTGGCTTGGACTCTCTTCTTTATCACTCCAGTTTTTATGCATTTACCTCATCTTTGTGGCAAGAACTAACAAAGTTGATCTCTACTTGAATCTTTGATGGCCTTCAACTCGTATCTACTGACTACCTCATTCAACATGGAACTTTTGATTCTCCACCTCCCAACCAATCCCCTCCCTGCAACCCAAGTTTTCCATCACTCCACCTCCCAACGAATTTTCCCCTCTAAGCTTCCCTCTAAGCTAATTTCAGAAAATTTAGCCCCAAATCTAGGTGGAAATCATCCTTCTCTTTCCTCATCTTCTACAGCCACTTCCTGAGGTCTACCAATTCTGTACCATTTGGCTCTCAAACGTATCTCAAATCCACTCTTGTCTCCATCACTAGCTTATGGCCCTTTCAGCTCTTACAGTTTGCCTGCTTCTACCTTGGCCTCTCCACAGTCCATTCTGCCACACTGTCATCGGATACCTTCCCCTTGTACTTTCCAAAGTCCCTGCCCCAGAGCTCTTTCCCTGGAGCCTCTCACAGGCCTTTGTCCTCCCAGCTTGCCCTGCTCTAGACATGCAGATCTCTTTTCAAGGCCTTTGATTCCTCAGACCACTGGTGTTCTGCTTTAGGGCTTCTGCAAGTACTATTCCCCCAGAATGCTTTTCTTTTTTGCATGGCCAGCTCCTTATCTTCCTGTAATCTCTGGGAGATCCTCTCTGACTTCCATACCTAAAGCAGATTCCCCTCTCAACTAGGGTGGGGCTGGGCTCAGGTTCTGAGGTTGACAGATATGTAGGGTGAATTATCAGTCAAATTGGGGTAGGACAGGTATGGTACAAGGTTGAAGACACAAGGTATAAGACACAAGGTTGAAGGGCAGCTGTTAAGTGTGATTCACCAGTATTTTAGGTTTCCTCAAAAATCATTTTCTGCACATTCAATATTCCTCCTGTTTTTACTTTCTCTCAAATACTGTTTCTTTTCATGGAAACTTGTGCTGTACTGAGATACCTACCCAAGGATTGAAAATGTTATCTGGTCATCCCAGTTGTCTCCTCCTACATTAGGGTCCTGAAATTACAGCACTAAACTGGAATCTGTCCTCTAAACACTACCATAAAGATGAAGCCCAAGACCACTTAACTTCTCTCACGTGAAACCAGAATTCTCTCAAATTATTTTCGTCCTTTGCACAATCTGCCAATCATAGCAAAAGATGCAATTTTCATAAATTACTAAAAAATATCTAGGAAGAGGCCAAATCTTCCCCTCACTCCCACCTTTCTTTTCTAAACCATCCATAGCCTATGTGGGGTCATGCTCTATGGCATGGGGTCTCGAACCTCCCCGCCTCAGGTAGGTACCTTCTATCAGATCAGCAGCAGCATTAGATTAGAAATAAAGTGCACAATAAATGCAATGTTTTCAAATCATCGTGAGACCATCCTTCCCACCCCTGGTCCATGGAGAAATTTGTCTTCCACAAAATCAGTCCCTGGTACCCAAAAGGTTGGGACCACTGCTCTACATAATCTTTCCCTCTCCTCTAGTCACAGGAGTGCATGCACATCCGTTTTAATTCCCTCCATCAAGGTCTTTGTCTAGGTGCCTGGTTATCTGTTTCCTCACTTTCAATCTTGGTTCAATTAAAAGGGAAAAAACCACAAAATCCTAAGAGTACACCTCCAGAACAAAGGAACAGAAACCACTCAAATCAGTTTAAGTACAAGAGGGAATTTATTAGCAGAATACAGTTTCTCGCAGGGACTCCAACAGCTAAGATGAGTTATGAGCTAGAAGCAGGCCCTTCTGCAGGTCACATTGTGCTGTCACCACAATCTTTTACTTCTGGGTTTCGCCAAGAGTACATACAGAATATCCTAGACGTCAGTTCTCCCTGTATGGTGTGTGAGGGACTAGAATGTGGCTTCATTTCTGTTGGCCTTTTGATCTTTATATTCCTTTATGCTGGCCTCGAACTTGTCAAGCACATGCTGGCAGACATTCATGAGCTCAGTCAGGCCTCTCTGAAAGGGCTCGACCGCGGGAAGGGCACCTCGGGTCTGTATGCGCAAGTTAATTTTGCTCTCTGAAGGATGGGTTGTAGTGTAACCACAGAATTCCACTTCCGGGTTCTTCATGATCATGTACCGGAGAGAATTTCCTAGGGTATGGTCCTCCTCGTGCAACACAAATGTCACACAGTGTCTATCTGTCCCAGCCGCCTGGACCATCTCCAGGGCTGTCTTCCTCTCGCCTTCAGCCATTGAGGTCTTCACTCCAGACATTTTTCTACACACATAGTTTTTATAAAAATGAGATCATACTGAGTACGGTTTTGAAACTAGCTTTTTAAAAAAAATCTATCACAATTGCAACAGGTTACTGCTCTAACGCACTCCAATTACACAGAACTATTAGCATTAGCCCTTATTATTATCTTCTCCTGCCTCCACCTATTCTACCACTAAATAATTTACTGCCTCCAGTTTCTCCCTACTCCAGTTGGCGGTCCACATGGTGACCAAGGGAAGTGTCCTTCAACAAAAAGTTTGCTAAAATATTCTTTTGGTAGAGTCACAAGAAAAGGGGCAGGATTAGAATAGGGTGGGTCCTGTTAAAGGATGAAAAGGGGAGTTGAAAGGCATGAGGGAAACGCAGATGATAAAAAATAGAAACTAAAGTTCATCAACGTGCAGTTTTCCGACTATGGTTTCCGTTTACAGGAGGTACGGAAACTAGAAAGTCTGAGAAGTCTCCAAGCACGGGGAAAAAAGAGCACTCGGCGCACACAGACGACCAATTAGCGCTCGGCCCAGAGGAGTGGCCTGGGCCTGGCTCATAGGCCAAGCCCATCACTCGGGGAACGGTGGCCGGGTGCACGTTATCTTTTACTGACTCTGGCTGTTCCTAACGGGGATGGGTCGTTGGAGACTGAACTCCGCTCTCACAACCCGTCCTCCCTCCTTGGTATCTAGTGTACTGAGCGTCTCCACTCAAGCAATCCAGCTCCCCCGCACCCCTTCCCAATTCGGGGCCCCGTTCCCCGCCCTGGCGCGCCCACCGCGCCCCCTCCTCGCCCGTCCTCCTGGTCAGGCCCTCGCTGCCAGGCCGGGCCGCGGAGGCGGAGGCCTCGGCCGGCCGCCGGCTCCGGGGCCCGGCGCGGCCCGCTCCTCCCGTCCCCCCTCCCCCTCGGCCGTTACCTCTCCAGCTCCTGGTCCTCTTCCATGGCGGGGTCGGCTTCCGGGATCCTCAGGTGGCGCGGGCGGGCCCGAGGCTCTGCCCCATGCCTCGAAACGTGCGGGCGCGGCAGGCAGACAAGCAGGAAGGAAGGACCGACGGAAGGAGTGCGGACGGAAGAAGGGGGGAGGAGCCGCAGCGGCGCGGCAGGGCCCAGCCGCTGGGCGGGTCGTGGAGGCTCCGCCCCTGGCCCCCGCCCCGGCCCCGCCCCCGGCGCGAGGAGGGCGGTGGCCGAGCCTGAGCCGCTCACCTGAGCTAAGTGAGCCCGCTCGCCGAGCCGGTGGTTGCAAGCAGGTGGAGCCGGGCTCCTGCCCCGCCCCGAGGCCGAGACCTGCCTGTGGGCGCCAGAGCTCGGCCCTTGGCACCTCCCCCCACACCGCAGGTGATGGAAGAAGGGGCGGGGCCTTACCTGACTCCCCCAGATCCCCTTTTTCCTCTGGGGCCAGGATCAAGCCTCTTTCTGACTTGATGCTGGCCCTCTGGCAGTGTAGCAGTGTCAGTCGCTTCAGTCATGTCCGGCTCTTTGCACCCTACGAACTGTAGCCCGCCAGGCTCCTCTGTCCATGGGGTTCTCCAGGCAAGAATACTGGAATGGAGTATTGCTATACCCTTCTTCGGGCAATCTTCCCGACCCAGGGATCGAACCCAGATCTCCTGCATTGCAGGCGGATTCTTTACCATCTGAACCACCGGGGAAGATCTTGGCCCCGTGGGGGACGGGATTAATCCCAGGCTGGACCCCCCCGCCCCGGGAGGCCTTTCCGGGGACAACGGACAGCTATAGTTGATCGATACATTTTGATGAATTTCACAACAGAATAATATGCACGTGTAAGACGGTGTTTGTCTCATCCGCAATCTTGAGTGGTTTCACAGCTCAACTGGGTCAAAGGACAATCGTTTGTTTATTTTTGCGGGGGGGGGGGGGGGGAGTGGGGGTGAGGATGAGCGAGTTTGGATGTAAACCGTCCCCATCCCGCATCCCCATCCTTTCCTTCCTGGGATCTTTTTCTCTCCCTGGAGTACGTCCTGCTTCGCTTTGGACACGTCCTTTCCTCTTCACCCTTTTGGCCTCTTCAACCTCCTCACCCGCGGAACCTCCCTCTCACCTTCGTTCCCAGGTGCTCGTGCCCCCGCCTCGGCAGCCTTTCACCACCCAGACTTGCTCTCCGTGCCTCGACCCCTCAGGTGTTCTTTACCAACCCCCCCCTCCCTTCCTGTCCCCCCTCACCCCCGCCAGCTCGCGTCCCTTCCCCCCACCCGACCCCCGCTGTCCTCTCCCCTGACACGCCCACAGTCCAGCTTTTCGGCGCCACCTGTTCTCCTTACCCTACCCCCGACCCCCTAGATGTTCCCCGCCTCCCCCAGCTGTTCCCCTGTCCTCGCGCGGTCGGCAGTGAGCGCAGAGGCGGCACTGGCCCCGCGCCGGGGGCTTCAAGGCGGACACCGGAGGGGACGGCTGGGGGGGGTGGGGGAGGGAGGGCGCGCGGCGGGGGGGCTGAGCGGGCTCACTCTAACCCGGAGTGACGGCCCGGGCCCGGCCCGCCCCTCGCGCTCTCGGATAGGTGGAGCCGCCCTCTGGCCCGCCCCCTCCCCGCCCTGTGCTGCTGCCAATTGGCCAGGGTGCGTGTCGGCTTGCGTGGCTCGGCCCTGGCGTTCGCCCGCGGGAAGGCAGCAGGGGCGGTTGAGGAGCGAAGTCTTGACTAGAGTTTGCTTCTTGCCAGGAAATCTGCGGCGGCGGCGGCAGGTCCCGGCGGAGCGGAGGCCGGCTGGCCCCCGCGCTCCCTCACCGGGGCCGCGGAAGCGGAGCCGACGCTCGGCTGAGGCGCGGGAGCCGGGCTCTCCCGGTGAGTAACTTTGCCCTGCCCGGCGCGCTCGGCGCCCGCTCGCGGTCCGGCCGCGCCTCAGGTGCGGGCGGCGTGTGGGGTGTGGGGCGTCGTGGCGCCCGGGAGGCGGCGGAGGCGGGCGGCCGAGGCGTCCTTTGCGCTCTTATGGCCCGACCGGGCTGTGGGGACACGGGGTCCGGGGAGGAGGGCGCGGGGTTGCCGGGCGCCGGCGGGGGCGGGCGGCCTCGGTTCTGACAGTCTGGGGGGTCCCGGCCGCCGGGTGGTCGAGCTTTTTGCGTCGTTTGCTCCGGTTTTAGGGAGGGGAGAGGTGGGGTGAGATTTTTGTCCCCTGAGTGTCTGTGGCCGTGGGTGAGAGAGCCACCGGCTGCCTTACCCGGTCTTGTCCCCGTTTGGAAGGAGCGGGGCGAGGTCGTACGCTCCGTCCCAGCCTGTTGCCCGCGAATTCTCACCTTTCCCTGGAGGCTGGAGAGGGTGGGAGAGAGACGTGACGCCCTCGAGGGGAGTAATTTCAAAACACGGCCCTTGACTTGGAAGCAGCCGCACACAAAGCACCGTTCAGGAAGGACCTCACTCGCTTTTCAGAACCTCATGCCCAGATCTAGACGAAGGATTTGCGGCTTAGATGTAGCGTTTCTTCGGAGGTTTCTGTGTGCATTTACGGTTATGAATCGGGACGTTCAGTATATGCCAGGAACTACAGTACGCTCATGCTTGGGCTTAACTCTGGTAGATGGTTGCTTTTTAAGTTACAGAAATGAAGTTGAGCGAAAAGCAGTGGCGATTCAGGAGGGGGGAACAGTTGTGAGCTTTGGTTTATTGCAACTGTCTTCGCTTTTAAAATTTCGCACTCTGGCCGCAGTCATACTAATTTCTAAATTGGTCTCAGGACAGATTTTGATTTTTTTTTCTCTCTTGCGCCATACTGTGACGTAGCCCTGGTGAGTTCATCCTAGTAGATCAATATTGTTTACTTGGATAGATTTGATTCCCATCCCCTCACCCCTTTAGACAATGGACTTTCATCTTGTATCCTTTTTGGCCTGTTTGAGCTTTCTGGAGTCACGAATAACAAAAGTTGTGCCCTTTTAGCTTGTCCGAGTCCTGCACGTGGGTTTTCCCATAGGAGTAAAAAAAAAGTAGGCCAGTTTGTAACCCAGGCAAAATAACTGCTGCTGCTTTTAATGTGGCGCACCTGTGTGTTAGCATTCCTAATTCTGTGTCTTGTTCCTCTCCTTTTCTCATCAGGTTATACTTTTTCCATTATTTATTCATTCAGCAGATAAGTGTCTTCTGCAAACCGGACATGCTTGGCAAGGGTCATCTCTTGCCCTGAACTGGCTCACAGTGCTGTTTGGAAGCCAATATATGCCTCTCTTCGACCAGCCACCTGAAAGCGATTTGAGCGGGTGTTGAGGAACCTTAAAAGAGGGAGAATTTCTGCCTGGAGTTTGTTAGGGAAGGCCTCACACCTGCACTTACTCTTCAGGTGGCTGGGGGATTTTCGTTCTCTGCGAAGGGACTAGCATGTAGGGCTTTGCTTTATGAGAGCTGCATCTGGTTACTCTGGCTGAAGAACATGGTGTCTGCAGTTGGAGTCGTGGTCAGGGCCTGGGATGTGTTATTCATTTCGGAGCACTTAGCACTTGGCCTTGCTTACAGTGGGCACTCAAATATTTATTGAACTGAGTTGAACAGGAACATAAAGGATTTTGTATGCCAAATTAAGAAATTTGGACTTGATCCAGTCAGCGATATGGAGCTGCCAAGTTTAAGCAGGAGAATGTCATGATAACATTTGCCTTCCAGAAGGATGTCTGCGGCAGGCTGAAGGTTGGTGGGGGTCCAGATGGGAGATAGGGAGATGGCTCAGGGCCTCTTAAATCCTCGAGGGTTTAAGTGCTCAGCACTTCTCAATTCACATTGTCTGGGTTTGGATCTGGCTCTGTCACTCATTATGTAACCGCTTTCTTCTTTAGGGTCTTCACTTCATAGGATTTGGGGGATAAAGCTTGAAAAACATGTATGTTACTTAGAATAGTGCTTGGCACATAGGAAGGATTTGGTGGATGCTGTTTTTTGTTCTCTGTGAAGGCAGTGGAAGTAGAGATGATGTGGCATCCAGGAGGTATAATTGGTCCAACCAGATAGGTGACTGCGAATGATTAATGAGAGAGGGATGGTTCGGAGGGTTTTTGACTTGGGGGCATTGGAGTATACTGGTTAAGCTGGCTGTGGAGTCAGAACGGGGTTGAATTCCATCACTTATTCTGAGCACTACTGTCCTCACTGAACTTTGGTTTCCTAACATTTAGAAAATGAAGTATACCTGTCTAGTGGGGTTTGAGGATCAAATGAAATTACGCATTAATGCCCTTGGCAGAGTACCTAGCACATTACAAGTGCTCAATAAATATTGGTTGTTCCTGAAGTGGTTATGACATTAAAGAGCTAGTGGAGTGCTGGAAGTTACGAGAAGAAACAGTTAAGAACAGTCCGTGGTCGGCGTGGGGAAAGGAAGATGGTTTGGGACCAACCCATTGAGGAGCACATGGGTGGTTGAGTCTGTGATGCCTTTGTTAGATAGATGTGTCAGGCCAGAGCTAGGAAAGAATGGAAGATAAAGAAATCAAGAGCTCACATAAAGCCTTTGTGGATGCGGTCAGCTTTACGGGAGATTTGCAGTGGGTAGGCAGGAGTGGGTAAGTTGACATTATTGCAGTGCCAGGAGTGTTGCTGTCACATGCTGGGCGTCTCTAGCCTTAAAATGCGTTTTGGTCACCATCACAAGGGAGGTCAAGGCTCCTGTAACCTGGTGGGCCCTTTGCCCTCCTCCCCTGCCTCTTTGTCTCCTTTTTGATCGCTCCCCTCAAAATCCTGGTACTTTTAAATTTTATTATGCAGAGCCATTTAATTTTTCCTGGGGCTAAAGTTCTCTTTAGGCCTACCTTCCTATATCAAAATCCCAGATTTCTAGAAGAATCAGAGATCTCATCTAATAGGTTTACTTAGGAAGTAATTTTGGTTCTAAAAATAGATGTATATAAGCATATTTTAAATACATATCTGTGTATATCTTGCGTATACAGGTACAGTTGTAGAAGACTTAGTCAGGCCTAAAATGATTCTGTTAAGGGGCCTGGGAGATTGACAGACTCAATCCCCTTCAGCTTTCCAGTCATATGTCTCTCTTCCTCAGAAAGTACAAAACTGGAAAAATATGTGGTTACATAAGTTTGTTGGTCAGTCGAGTTAGAAGAAACGGCTGTTTTGTGTATTCACTGATGAGAAGTTGTTAGGAATTTTTTAAGAAGCAAATGTTGGTGATGTTCATTATGGTGACAGTGATAGAAGCATCCAGTCAGTGTGTTTTTAAAGAGGCAGATATGTAGGCTCTGTCTGCAGAATGCACACTTCGTAAGAGCAGGGATCCTGATTTGCTCACTGCAGTAGAGTCCCCAAGTCCCAAAACCAAAGATACTAATGTATGCATGAGTAAATGAACTGGATCCATTGACTTTGATCTGTCTTGGCCCACAGATATACTGAAATCTTTGGAACAGTCATTGGTCAGAGGGAAAACAAAAGAGGCATTTGAGCCAGCCAAGCCGCTTAAAGTACTCTGTGTTCTTATAGAAGATACCGGAACTATAACAGAATTTATGGCCATTATGATTCAGTTATTTTAGTGCCAGCTGCTGTAATTTATTTGCATGATTCCCTTTTTCTCCCCTTTTACTGTGATGGTTGTAGGGTGTAGTTAGGAAGAAAGGTTTCTGTAGGGGCATTGCCTTGTTCAGAGCTAAACTGATGACACCTGTATTGTCATTTTGTCCTCTTATTAGTAAAACTCCAGACCCGATAAGAGATGAGAAGAGGAGCAGAAGTGTTGTGGGTGGAGAGGGCCAAGCATAGTTCACACCTTAATTTCCCCACCCTTGAGGTCTCCTTCTATTTTTTCTGATAATCAGGGTCCCTCGTCAAAGTAATTATGTGGGAGAATTTTGTTTCTCAAAATTGGACTGGGAAGGTGAAAGAATTAGAAACAAGTGCAGAAAATAGGCGATAGGCAACTAAAACTTTACCTACACACAATATACATGGCTAACTATACTATAGGAATTATGTATATTGTGTATTTATGTGCTTATCAATATGTATAAGCCTAAACTATCATGTGTCCACTTAAAAAGCATGCCACTTTTATGTTAACAAGTTAGGTTTTGTTTTCTCTATTGAAAGAGTAATCTTAAGAGTTCTTTTAAATAGCAAATTTCCCTAAAGTATATAATAGGGGGTATTGTAAAAAAAATGTTTATAAACAAACTATGAGGACCTGTATCTTATGTAAAACAGGTGTGTGGTGGTGGTGGTTTAGTAGCTAAGTAGTGTCTGACTCTTGCAACCCCATGGACTGTAGCCTGCCAGGCTCCTTTGTCCATGGGATTCTCCAGGCAAGAATACTGGAATGGTTTGCCATTTCCTTCTCTAGGGGATCTTTCCGATCCAGGGATTGAACCTGAGTCTCCTGCATTGCAGGCAGTTTCTTTACCAACTGGACTATAAACAGGTGTCTACGTGGCTTTAATAAAGCTTTCAAAGGCTCTGTTGGTTATCACTTTGTTTTACTGATAAAAGTAAAGTAAGTCTGGTATATATTTTACCCCATGCCCCCTTTACCCCTCAGATTGGGATTTTGGCTACCAAAATTAAAAATTAATCCTTTATCAGAGTTCTTAAGCCTGTTCAATTGAACTGTCTAATTATTGAACAAATAAATTGAAGTGCTTATGTCTTATTTCATTGTTTTATTCTAACCATTGCCACTTTTCTTCCACATGATTTTAATGTTTGTAGATTTCCAATTTAATTGTATTCAAAAAGCAGCATACATGATGGGATCAACACTGGGCTGTGTGGGACATAAAACATTCTCTGCCCTTGGAAAGATTAAAATCTTAAAAGACGTTAAGTCAGAGTTAATCATTCTAAGGCAGAAGATAGATGGACCCTGGGTTAGACATTTACAACTAGCCTCCTGTTTATGCTTTGAGACAAAGATAATAACAGGGACAGGATAAGCAGCTGGATTTAGTCTCCTGTGGACACTAAGATAACAGTGGTGGCAGGAGCAGAGAAGGGCTGAGCCCTGCTTCGGTAAGGAGGTCGCACATTCCTCATTCTTGGGGTCAAGGCAGTCTCCCAGACTACACATGCGCAGAAAGGGTCCTCAAGGGAGGGGACAGTAGCCCATAATATGTCCTGTCAACCTCCCAGAGACCTTCATGCTGGAATCCATCTTGGCTAAAAGATACGCAGACACACAGGGGAGGGCCATGAGTCAGACCAAGCGTGGGGTTAAAGCAAAGTAATTGGACGGAGGGAAACAAAGACCCAGAAAACTGCCTCCATATAGCAACCAGGGCTTCCCAGGTGGCTCAGAGGTAAAGGATCTGCCTGCAGTGCAGAAGGCGCAGGTTCAATCCCTGAGTCGGGAAGATCCCCTGGAGAAGGGAATGGCTACCCACTCTGGTGGGAAATCTTGCCTGGGGAATCCTGCCTGGGAAATCCCATGGATAGAGGAGCTTGGTGGGCTACAATCCATGGGATCACAAAAGAGTTGGACGTGACTTCTTGTTTGGTCACTGAGTCATGTCCTCTTCGCAACTATGGACTGCAGCACGCCAGGCTTCCCTGTCCTTCACCATCTCCCAGAGTTTGCTCAAACTCATGGCTGTTGAGTTGGTGATGCCATCCAACCATCTCATCCTTTTGTCTTCAGTCTTTCCCAGCATCAGGGTCTTTTCTAATGAATCAACACTTTGCATCAGGTGGCCAAAGTGAAGAGCCAACTCATTGGAAAGGACTCTGATGTGACTTAATGACAAGCCACCTTAAAAGCACCTGAATCTTTCTCTGAGCTCACCTGCATGTATTTTTCTAATAAACACTTTACCAGTTTCTCTGTTTGCGGTCTTTTTGCTAAAATTCCTTTTACAAAGAAGGCAAGAGCCAAGACCCTGCTTCTGGCCACTAGTCCCTGGTGGTCTAGTGGTGATGATTTGGCGCTTTCACTGTCACAGTCTGGGTTTGATTCCTGTTCAGGGAGATCCCACTTCAAGCCTCCACCCTCCGTGGCCGCCCCACATCAGCTCAGAGCATGAGGAACACCTCTGACTTCAAGTACCTTGTCTCCTTGTTGACCTTCACTTCCAGTGTCCTTGGACATTCTCCCAGTTCTCCACATTAGACCTTAACGTTTCTGTATCCTGTCCTCTGACTGCAGCCTCTGAGCCTGTCCTTCCAGCTGTATCACACCCACAGTCACTCTTCGGTGCCCTTTGGGCAGGGACAGTTTGCTTGCCATCCTGTTTATCCCACCTTCCATCCTGTTGTATTAACATCTGTGGGATCTATATTTAAGTGCCTGGAATATGCCTCCCTGGCACCTTAGCTTTGCTTGAACTTGCTTTTGTTCTGTATCTGCTTCATTAACTCTGCTTCTCCCTGAGTTATTTTGGCAACCCTG